TAGCAGCGTCCAGTGCTCATCCACTGCTACTCATGCATAATTGGCTTCCATGGAAGGAGGCAAGAAAGGGTAAACAGCAAGCAATCATATTAACTCCTATGAGTCCTAATTGAAATCCGTTAACAATGAGCACAAATGATAGAGGCTGAGGAGATGTGGGGTTGTTCATACCCCGAGCCCTCTCTCCTGCACGCTGCTCTCCGTTATTGACACGCCTGAAAACGTGGGTTTGCATCGTAATCAAGAGTTATGCTTGATTCCTGTGCTCATGGGTCACATAAACACAGCAGCCAAACATCTGCACATGTGAGCATATGGGTGAGATGTTACCTCGGTCAGAGAGAGATGGATCTTTTAATTTTATTAAAATTGCATCTGGTTTGTGTTGAGTGTACAGTGTAAATGAGGAATAGCAAAATATTTTGTGGAAATATTATTATTATAAAATTATTATAATAAGACTGTTTCATGTTGTGCATTTATGCTAAAAAGTAATTTTTATGGGCCAGTATATCTTTGTTGGATTTCTGACAATATTTCCAGTATAGACAGGCTAGTTAATCAAGTGGTATTTTTTTTATTTTAGTTTGTACCCAATATTTAGATTTATTTATCTTGGTATATTGTTTCTTTGTACATTCATTCGTATTTTATTTGTTCTTATTCCTTTAGCACTAGTAGTGATGGGGGAAAGGGTTGAATGCACTGGATGCTTCATCATTCCAGTCGGGTCTTAAACCACTAGATGGTGTGCTTGTCTCTTCCCACATACACGTCACGACATCCACCAGATGGGTTGAGTGATAGAGTTTCTCTGTCTGTGAAACTAATGTGTGTGCATCTCACACTACGCAACACATAAACCCACTATGTCACCAGATTTGGGAGGTGTACAGGTGAGTCGTTCTCAGATATCGCAATGAATGCAGAGCACATGGAACAATTGAGCATCTCTTCCTAACAAGCAAATAATCTTATTCTGTTTAAAACTCCTTTCCAACAAAGAGCTCATCCAGACAGCAAATTCACCCACCAAGAGAGAAGAAATAAAACTCAATCTTCCGAATCTTTATCCAGGCACTGACTCACTCATACTTGAGAGACTGGCTGCCAGCCATGCTAACAAAAGGCTGTTGAAAGGCAGAATAAATACTGAACAAGGGTGCGTATGTTCAGGTTCAAGGGTTCATAATTGGCAGACAAGGCTTTGGAAACCCTTCAGGGCGTACACGTTTCCTGTTAGATATATTTGGTGCATTAATGTGACAGACAGGCCTTCTCTTGTGTCATTTTGCCAAAATGTTAATAACAAATATGCAGCATTGTTTACCCTGTCTCCTGTTTCAAATCTTTATTTATAACTTGCATTATTTTGAATATAGATGAAAATTAATAACAGAATAAATATGTTTCTGCACACCTGCATTCCTCTGCTTCAACATTCAACAGAAATATTGCTGCAATCTCAATTTGTGTATTATTGAGCTTCACTGCTTCTCAAGGGCGAGACAAGAGCAGACGTTTCCCTGTGCTGCTGTGTGTTTCTTATTTCTCCTCTTCCCTTATTCTCTGCAGCAGATGGTAAAAAGAAAATCACTTTCTGCTGGGGGCAGGATGCATCAGGGTCAGGGTTTAAGCTTCGAGGTCCACTCTGAACCTGGCTGATTTGACAGCACTATTTTGCATACGGGACGCAGAGTCTAATCAAATATATGCGAAAGAACAAGGCGGGATTTGCAAAGCAGCTTGATACAAAGATACTGATTAGATTAGGGATCTTACAGAACAGCAGGCTGGAGCCGCACTGTCCACTCTGACAACACACACATGGAGGAACATGCACAAACGAATGGAGACTCTTAGACAGACACGTTTACTACACTGAGATGAAGAAGGTGTTAATATTGACATGCCAGAGGACCTCGCTCTGCTGAAACTACACAGACTATTAAGCTATGATGAGAGACAATCAGCAGAAAAAGGCAAAAATAATTGTCCTGTAATTAAAGTGAATAAGTGTACACAGAAACTCAGCCATCTCTCCACCTCGTGCTCATACTTTGATTGAGCTCATCTCAGAGGACAATGACAATTGATTGCTCTCGAAAATGACGGATCCTGCACGGGATGGAAGTCAATACTGAAAATAATGAGCCACTGAAAATGCACAGGTTATGTCAACAGCAGCAAAACAAGGGCTGCCTGAGGAGAAGAACATATTCCCCGCACAATTATACTGTAGCTAAAAACAAATGCAGCCAGTGAAATCATGCTGGCACAATAATACACCTTATTTAGATGCCTCGTATTCATCTAAGCGCACCAAACCATGAATCATTACAAGCTTATGCAGATGAACATACTGGTTTATAGAGCCTATGTGAGCCGTTTACAATTAAGGACTTATTACTCCATACATGAGTGGAGCAGGCCATTCAACGAACAGGAGTGTTGCATAATACCCTAAAACGATCGATGAAGGATGAATATTTAAAACGTTATCAGGCTAGAGATCTTCTTTGTGGCAGGGCAAAATTCAATTTGCAGGACAAATAGACAAATTACTGTGAGGCTTATTTGAACCATAATATAAGACTATATCCACATAACACCTACAAGGAGAGCCTGTTTAGATTCCCTGTCTTACATATCTCAAACGTACATGTGTGGGCGTAGGTATTTCTTATATATTCCAGCCAAGCTGATGACTAGCCTTGGGACAAGATTGTGTGTAATGCCACAAAGCCAAAGACGGTGATTGTTTGTTCATATCCACACAAATATGTCAAACTGCAGTTTTCTTACCCTTAATCCTACTCTTAAACACTGAGGAAGAATGTTCAATTTTCAACTGAAGTCTCACACCTAAGATCCAGCTTCGGTTTTACTGCATCCCCTGCCTGTGAACTACACATCAGCCCACCTTTTTGCGACGTTAACCCCATCTAGCTAACCCCGAATCCACGGGGGAATCGGCTATGTGTCTCTGCAGAATGAATGAGTGAGTGAGTGAGTGAGGGAGTGGGAGTCAGTCAAAGCCCGAAGCACTTATAAGGAGGAAGGAGGGAGGGGGGTGGGGGGGGGAGGTGTTCACGGTGAGGAGGTGGCTGCTCGGAGGCAAAGCTAATTCACTGAGACAGAAATCAGAGCTGTCAGGACCACCATGACCAAGCAGCATGGACAGCATATATCCAGTCAACCCAACAGCTGAGGGGAAGCAGGATGTCGGGGCTCAGGAAGAAAGCCGGGGATGTGCTGCACAAGGCATTGAGAGAAACAAAGTGTGTGTCGATGTGCGTCTGTGTGTGTATGTGTGAGCATTTGCATGTGCGGCAGGCAACAGCCATCCATTCAAAACCACAAAAATAGAAACAACAATGTAAAGAGGCGCACGGGTAAGAAGACAACTTCAGAGCGAGAAAGACTTTCAACCCAGATGCCTTCAAACTTCACAGAGACATGAGACAAGGGAGGACGGGATTCGTCAGATTCAAAATTCACAAAAACAAGGGTATTTACCAGGATGACATTCACACAGAATCACAAACATATACACACACACACACACACACACACACACACACAATAGAAACAATAAAAGAACTACAGTAGACATAGCTAAATTTCAGTCCTCTGGGATTACTAGTGTAAGGTTACAGGATAACACATGTAATATTCATGAGGAAAGCTCCTATGTCATACAAATCTGTTGTAATGGTATAGGTTATTAATAGAATATTGTGGGGACACTGATATTGTTGAGAGTGAGAGAGAGAGGGAAAGCAAGCCACCAGTATCATTACTTAATGATGAGAGAGGGAGACACAAGGCTGGTCTCTAAATGACACAGAGAGGGAGGAGGGGATTGTTGGAGATTAAGTGAGCTCTGTGCTGTTTGCTATACACTGCAAAGCACTGCAGCATGTTTGTTGAGCGGCACTCTCATTTGGGATGAAGAGAAAGCCGGTAGGGGGACCTTAAACTTGGCTGAGGAGGAAGGCAAGAGCATTGTTCCGGGTAGCAGATAAGGATTAGGCAGCAATGTTGTGAGTATTCATTGATCGGCTGTAACTTCGAAAAGAGGAAAGGCATGGGACTGTTGGAATCTCATGTGGTTGCTAATCAGTTTACTTTGGATTTGGGGTTTGGAAGAGTTTGGGGTTTTTTCTACTCTTTTTTCCATTTTCTAGAGGGGAGAATAGGATTAACTAAGTCAGCCAATTTGCTCACTTGTCTGGAAGTGGTATGAACTTTTCCCCTCTCTATGCTTTCAAATTCATTTAGGCTTTAAATCGCCTGATATCAACTGAGAAAAAACATCTTTTTAAAGGTGAAGTATTTACCATTTTAAACACTAAGGTTTCATAGTGTGTTCAAATGTTTCCTTTTCAGTGGACAATGATTAAATGCTCACAGCAACAGTATTTAAACAACTGGTTGATTGTTGGACAAATTATGTAAATCATTAAGATTTAAAAAAGTCCCTGGTTCAAGCTTCTCATGTGAATATATGCTCGGTTTTTGTCATCATCATAGGGTTGAGGACGGTCTGTCGCATAGAACAAGACAATCTAATTCTTTGGCAGAATGTTTTATCCCGTGTTTGACATTATACAAACCAATACAAACCAAATGTTTCATTAAATGAACAAGAACAAAATCTGTAGATAAACAGACAGTGAAGATAAGCGCTGCAACCCTTCAATGATTACAATACCCAGAAGTTTTTTTTATTATTTCTTTGTATATAAAAACATCTGCGGTATTTGTGAATCAAAAATTGGAACATTAAAGAAAGAGGATTTGTGGCTTCTACAATGAAGCATTTTCATCTCTTGCCTTAGATTCTAAAGCTTCCTATATGTATTAACCTCACAGGCATTTTAATACGTCAGCTGAGCAGGTGGATCTTTTTAATATATAATGCGGTTTCTCATTTTTTATCTAACCAGGGAGAGCTTAACAGAGCAGAAACCTTGAAGGATTCAACTTCCAGAAACATGACCTCTGGACTGTATCCAGGACCTCTGCTGATGCTGCTCTGTCTCCTCCACGTCTCTGAAGAGACCTGCCCCTCCATTTGCCTTTGTATATCTGACACAGTGAGCTGTAGCTCCAGTGGTCTGGCCAAGCTCCCTCTGTCCCTGCCCTCTTTCTCCGTCACCCTCGACCTCAGCCACAACCATCTGTCCTGGCTGGGTCCAGGCAGCTTCAACAAAATGCCCCGACTGGAAAACCTCCGAATGGCCCACAATCAGCTCAGTGTCCTGGGCCATGGGGTGTTTCACAATGCCTCTGGCCTCAGGCACATTGATCTATCCTCTAACAAGCTGCATGTGGTGGAGCAGCACTACTTCCAGGGGCTGTGGAGGCTGGAGGAGCTCCTGCTCTTCAACAATAAAATCACTCAAGTGGAGGCCAGTACACTCATTGGTCTGAGCAGCTTAAAAAAGGTCTACTTCAGCTTAAACCAGCTCACACACTTCCCGTTCTTCTCCATCCAAGACCATAGTCATCCATTCCTGACCATGCTGGACCTCTCGTCCAATCGAATGAGCCGTTTGCCCTGGGAGGATGTCAAAGCTTTGCCAGGGCTGGTGCAGCGGGGGCTTTATCTCCACAACAACTCTCTGATCTGTGACTGCTCTATGTACAGTGTGTTCTGGCATTGGGATCTGAGGGGTTATGACTCCCTGAGGGACTTCACAGATGAGCACACCTGCTCTATCTACGGGGACCAACGAGCATCTATCAGGTTCCTGCAACAAAACCGCTTCTTCCACAACTGCACTATGGAAAAGGCCGTCTCGCAGCCTGTGACTGTGCTCCTCTCCCATGTGTTGGTTTCAGATGGAGACAGCGTGCATCTAGACTGCCAAACATCCCTGAGTAGAGATAGTACAAACCTCTCATTTACATGGCTCTCCCCCACCAAGGGGTACATCACCCAGACTAGCATAAATGACACGCTAATTAGCCTTTTTCCTAATGGCACCTTGGAGATCCAAGCAGCCAAGGTCAATGACTCAGGGCTGTACGTGTGCACAGCTGTGGATATTAAACAGGAACTGAATGCTACTCGTGAGGTGAATGTTACGGTGCGGCTGCCTGCGGGAGAGACATTCAACACTGGCTACACGACACTGCTGGGCTGTGTGGTGACCATGGTCTTCATCCTCATATACCTTTACCTGACTCCATGTCGCTGCAGCTGCTGTAAACAGCCCAAACCTCCAGTAATCCCAATCGCATCCTATGACCCCAGCACCCTAACGTCTGTTTTCTCCCACTCCACAGGAGACCATTCCAAAATCCAAACTAATAAGCATGTAGCGTTCATGGAGCCTATGCTGAGTGAAGAAGGAACAGAATGGACACCTGAGAGCTGATTCTGAATAGGGTAGTTTTTCTTGCCGTTTAACTTTTGGAGGAGGAGAGAGAAGACTTTGGGACAATACTCAGGAATTAGTGTTGAGATGCTATAAGAATTGAATGTTAATGCAGTAAAGAAAAAAAAAGCAATATCTCCTGTTCCACTTCTGCTCCTGTCTGTCATCAAGCTCGGAAGACGAAATGAAACTTTCAACTTTGCTTTATTACCCTCATTGTACTGACACCGCTAAATCAGAGGAGAGCCATTATCAGCCCTAAAAATCAGCTAATAACTTCTGTGAGCTCAGGTACAATGGGGCGGGGATGTATTTCTCACGGGATCAGTGGATGAATCTGGCTCATTTTTCACAAAAAGTGTTTAACAAGGATGAAAAGCCCCGGAAAATGCAGTAAGTTTATGACTGTAATGGACCGGAAGAAGTAAGTTCAGTCTATTTATCTTGGATGACTTTGGGTGCTGTCTAATTAGTTGCACTGCATTAGATCATATCTTATATAATATACAGCTTCAACATTGTAGGAAACTCTGTTTAACTCCTGAAAACATTTCTTCCCTGTTATCCTAATAAAGGAATCAGACCCTTTAGATCATTCGTATTTTTGGTTTTGAACGCAGATTTACTTTAGCAAAAATCACTATCCAGTATCATATAAAAAAGAGGAATTAAGATACATAAGAATGCAATGAATGTGTCGGAAGCTATAGCTTTCAGTGAACTTTCAAAAATCTTATCTAGCAGAAAACAGAGGCACATCCGGCTGTGATCCATCATACATATACATATCTCGTACAAACCTGTTGCATTAATCTGGCAGCGAAAAACAATGACACTTAATCTTGGCTCGGCTTATTTGGCAAACAGTGAAGAACAGAAATCAGTGAGTGTCAACAAACCAGAAACACACAGCAATTGGACTGCTCTTCAAAGACCGCATCTCTTTGATCAAACACAGCAGAGCACTTTGAACACTGCGGAACAAACACACCAAGAAATTTAAACTGAAGTGACAAATACTTCAAGCAGCACTGACGCAAACCCCCTGGTGGCTCTTACTTTGTATAGATTTGTTACGGTTCAAGCCCTGAGGGGATAGAACCTTATTGTTTTTGTGTCAATTAGTAGTTGTTTAAGTATTCTGCCGAAATGGCTACAATAGTCATTAACAAGAAACATCAATCCTAGTCCAATAACTGGAAATTATGTGCATGTGTTTCCCAAGAAAGATGCACCCAGTCAGCCAGGAAGCGGTGCTGTAATTAAGGCTCAAAAGTGCCATTTCGGAAAGGCCACTTCCCACACACCTTAAGTCCAACTGACTTGAAATCTGATACAAAACTGCAAATCAATATTTTCTACAGAAAACATCTTGGACAGTAAAAGTCTTCAATGATGGATTTATTTTTCGTCCATTTTTTGAGTAGCACATTTTTTGGATCTCATCTGAAACAAGTAAACTGATGCTGGATCGTATTTATATATCATCACTTCACAAAATATGTGGCTAATAGTTTTTAAGATATTGACCAATAAACTTCATAATGGATATGACTAATTAACATTTTGTCAAAGCATCATAAATTTTAGTTATCTTCAGTCTGTGTTTGGGAATTGGCCTACCAAAGCAATTCAAGCATGACTTATAGGGGGCGCTATACATGCCAAATATGTAAAAAAAGATCTTGGGGCAATATTGATTTGTGTATGAGGGTGTGGTCTATCATATATCGGCTAATAATATTAAACTCACTGGAGACATCCAGCACCATCTCCTGAACCTAGTTTCGTTCAAATCCAATGAAGGGGAACAAATAGCGGAACTTTGAGTCCACAATTATTGAAGTGCTGCAGGCTTTATGATGATGAAATAAGAGTCAACTGGTTTTATTCTTCCTTTATAACAGAATTAAAGAAGCTGAAATTACTTTGTGAAGCCTGAAACCTGTTTGCTGCTGCCAGTGGCTTTAATTTTGGTCAATTGAGCTCCTTCTGTTTAGGGTTTTATACCAGAAATCACTGCTTGCAGCTATATATTATTTAATCGAGTGTAACATTGTTCAAACAACAGAATTGCTTACTGCAACAACAGAGATGAAAGATGCTAACATCTTGCCACGAATGCACTGCCATGAAAGAACATACGTGTGGGATGAGAACATTCAGTCGATGACACGAGTAGTCAGGGATGAAGGGATATTTAAAAGCTGATGACACAAACAGTAACCTTACAAGAAACAAATCAATTTCTCAATGTCCAAGCATCTATATTGTACTTTAATCTTAACGCACACAGTGGTGGGGGACCAAGGATTGCATCGAGATTGAACAGGATTAGATGTAATCCTTCATATAATGTCAAAGAGAAGTTGTCAGTAATCACACTTCTAACAAAGGAAAGCATGTCATTTGAGGAGGGGCCTTTCGTTATTTCTAAATCCTTAATTAAAACTAGGCCTCCATCAAAACTCAAGCAGAATATAAGTTGTGCAATTTGAAGGTAAATTCACAGGCAAAAAAGTGGAAATCTACAAATGGGCAATCGTGCAAGTAACTGGGACAGACAAGCTCTTTGACAGCACTGATTTTCATCACTGTTAAACTCTGAGTGGATTAAACAAAATCCGACTAAGAGAGAACTGCACTGTAATGCACCACTCTGTTTAATCACACTGCCACTTAATTCTCATATTTAGCAAAGTTTACATTGTTTTCAAATATATAATCAAGATTTCCACCCCGGAACAAGGGTTATGCAACGTGCTGCTGTGCTGCTGCGTGATGTAACATCTTGAATCAGAGTCTGTCGTGACCTGATGTTTTCAGAGACAGTGTACTAGAGACGTTACATGGTGTGATGAGTTCGGGTTAGGTTTTAGGAGATTACTACGAGGATAAAAACCAGGTGCTTTGTCAATTTCATTGTTTTTAAATCCCTCTAATCTGGTCCCTCTCCCTGACACAGCACACGCAGCTTGGCTGGGATTTATTGTTTCTGATATGATTAGCAGATGAGTTAAAACAATGAGGACATGATGTGAGCATTTCACAAAGGGCTCTTTGTTTCACAGAGGGGCCACAGGTGACCCAGGTTATATAAGCACACTGCCGATTTGGGATTCAACTGCAGTGTAGATAGGATGTCAGCTGAAATGAGTGCAGATAGTGATGCCATTTGGTATCCAGAATTTTATTTTAACCTTGTGATAATAATGGGAGGCCTCAGCAGTGCCTTTAGGAAAACAAAGAGGCATAAAAAAACACAATAAATAATTACTTTTGCTCCATCAGATTGTCACACATATTCCCACTCATTTGAAACATGAGCAGGTAGTTGACACACAGATTTATGTGGCTAAAACCAAGATAATTAAAATATCCCCTGTTTCATCAGTCTATCCATCCATCCAATTTCTATACCACTTATCCTTTAATGGTTATGGGGGAGCTGGAGCCAATCTCAGCTGACATTGGGCGAGAGGCAGGGTACACCAAGGCAGGTCGCCTCTGTTCCACACGTACATTTATTCCAAAGTTTTGTTCAAATGTGTGAAAACATGTTGTGCCCTGACCGACTGCATGAGTTCAGAATTTACAGTCTATGAGCACAGTTTAAAAACCACATAACAGGGTGAAGTGTTATGACTGAGAGCTGAGACTCGGTCTGTGATTTGGCGTAACCTCAATACAGTGGCTGTGCACCACAAACACTACTCTGTAGACTCTTGCTCCAAGCTTCATGGAAGCTAATACTTAAATAAAAATGGAGAAGGGCAATAGTGAGCAAGAACGGGCTTATCGGATAAGAGTGACATGGAAGCTTGCCTGGCAGATATCAATATGTTAAGTATATAGCAATATGCTATCTGGTTGCCTTTGAATTAGTTCAAACAAATTACAGACTAGTTACATCTGATGTTTACAGATCCACAGATAATCCAACTAATTGCACTTTAAAATAACATCAGAATTTCCAGTCTAGGTGCAAGCCGCCATGACTCAGTCATTCTGCTTCCTGCAAATTATCCTGAACCACTCGGGAAAGAAAACACACAGATTTAAAGGAAGGATCGCTTGATACTTGAAAAGATGCTCCTCTCTGAAGCAAAACACTTCATCAAGCCTCAATTAAAGTATGTACTTCCCTCTTTCAGATTAATTGTTTCCCCTAGTTCAGCTAGGCTCCCAGGGATTCAGAATCATCTTATTCAAGAATCTAATTACTGTGAAAGGGGAGTTTCACTCTAAATAGCACAAGTTGAATTGCTTTCACTCGAGGAGGGCTGCCTAGACTGTCAACAGGGGCTATTACTGAACTGTCAAAACAGTCATCAGGCAGGAGTGGAGGCATCCAGCTGTGTCAGACACATACACATCTTTCAGACGCTCTGACACCCACATACACAACCTCAGTGGAGGCCCAGTGTCACAGGATTGACTAAAACCCTTATTTCATTCTAATTGGACACTTGGAAATATGTGCCTGGGAAACACACAGAGCACTCGTTTCAGAACAGGTCACCACAGCAATACTACACTGTAGATCTTTTTTAGGAGGTAGGCTGGTTGCTTCCCAAAAAAAGATTAAAATAAATGTGGACTGCTGCACACCAGACAACAAGCTGTTTATCATACCTCTCCGCTGCGTGTGAACACAGGCCATGTTCTGTGTTTCCGAAGCAGCTGGATAAGCAACAGGATTCTGGTCTCAGTCAGATCACTGTGGGGAACATTGCACATGAACGGCTCATTAATCAAATGTAAAGATCACGTTTTACTGCTAACAAACAAATGAGTAATATGGGTGCATCAATGCGAATATGCAGTGATGCACCCTGATCTCAGTCAGTAGATTGCGGTGCAGTCTCTGTGTCTATCTGGGGACATTTTTTGCTTCAGTAAGTAGAATGTAGTTAAATATTATAAGATTTGACGAGCACAACAACATTAAGTATTTTAGGTTTAGTTGCTTGTGTGAGCACATTTCTTCACCATCCTCTCATCTTTTTATTCGTCCTTACTGTTTAGCTTCTGTCATTTCTTCCAGCGGTTTTACTGTGTTGTGTTGGAATGTTGCTTCCCTTGTTATTGTCTGTCACACTTGTCCACTAAAAATACAACAATGAACTTGGATGAAATATGGCTTTATTGTCTCCGTTAAAAAAAGACATTTACTGTCACAGGCAGTATGGGTGTATTATCTACAATGGCTTCTAGTGTCAGTGATGCTCAATAATGTACTTTATGATACTATTTTTCAGCTATGCCTGTGACATAGCTCTGGGGATGACAAAAGGTCGGCCTGTCATTTGGTACCAGACTGAAATATGTCAACCACTATTAGATCAATTGAATTTTCGTACAGGGGGAAACCTACTCAATTTGGTGACCCCTTGGATTTTTTTTCTTCCCAATGCATCCCTATGAGGTTGTCATGGGCTTTTGAGTTAGACGTCTGAATAACTGTTGGATGGATTGCTATGGAGTCAGGTAGACACGTTCATGCTCTCTTCAGGATGAAATGTAATAACTCAGACTTCTCCTTTAGCATCATTGTCAGATCAAAATTTCTATTTATTCAGAACTATTAGAATAGTTATTCAGAACTATTAGAGACTACTGCAGTCTCAGGTTGTCTTTGTATTTAGTGCTAATTAGTGAGTTTGCTCTGTAATGATAAGCACTTGATTTTTGGCTCAGTGCACTGCTGCCTCATCGAGCCACCTGCATGTCTGTATCTCTGGCTCTCACAGTATAAAGTGACTGGTTTAGAACATCACTAGAATATGTCCTTTGCCACTTCCATGATTTTATGTGTCTAACCACACAAAGTTCTGCTTCTGAACGAGCTTTACAGAAGCTTAATTACTTTTCTCCGGTCCAACCATTTTCTGCTGTCTCATCGCTTACTAACTAAAAAAAACAGTGGAAACTGGAGGATTTCCATAACGTGAGGTGCTGATCCCAGTAACAAGAGAAGAGATTCTCAGTTACACTCACAGCAGAGCTACGTTACATTCTGGCCCAAAGCCCTGCTTCCTGAAACGTCATCAGTTAAAAGCTAAACCCAGAGAACTGCAAAGCTCACTGATCCAATTTTATCAACACAAAGTGGACATGTTTTGTCCTGACCTGGATATTACTTCCCTCTTTATGCTCTCGTCCGATGAAATCTGATTTTGTTTTAAGAGATGGAGTCAAAAAACGATGTAAAAAAGAATTCAGCCCCATTAATCAAGTAAGCACATCAATATATATTACATTACTGTACACCTCTCACTACATTTCAGAGAAAGGTATCATGTGTTTTATATGACTGTGTGTATGTGAATGGAGCGCTTTGAATGGTCATCAAGACTAAAGCACAATATAAATACAAACCATTTACATTTACAGCTTTAGGTACAAGTTGCTTTTCAGATTAGAATTTCACATTCAAAACCCACTGGGAGTATAAAAAAAGATGTGGTGCTTTATCATTAAATTAATTAGTGAGTAAAGTAGCTGAACTCACCCAGACAGACATATTACGTAGTAGTAAATAAACTTCTTTACTACGTGTATTTTATTTTACCTCCCTACGTATTTTTATGACTATATTGTTTATAATGGATTACTTCCTCCATCACTGGGTATAAATACAAATGTTCTTCACATATCAAATACAGTGAGCAGCTCTACTTAACTTTGAGGAGAGATACTGAATAATTTCACTTCTTCGGGCCCCAAATTCTTTTGGAGTTTGTCTCTCAGTGAAGCTGCTGTAGTGATTTGTAAGCTCATCTTGATTTCAACACATCTTACTCAGGTTCACGTGGTGGAGTAAATACACAATGTCTGCCTCTGAAATGCAGAGTCATGGTTAAATATATCAGCCTCAGTCACCTGCTTGGTTTTCGTTAGCTCCTGCTAGCTGACAGACATGGCAGCTAAGCTAGCTGGTTAGCTTTAGAGGAACATTTAGCTGCTAAAGCAACACGTGTTTACCTCAGGAGTCAGTGGAGGAAAAATAAAGGAGATTTAATGAATCAGACTTACTTTCATTAGGTGGCTCCGGGTCTGCGGCGTGTGTCTGTGTGTGTGTGTGCTAACAGGTTAGCCTCATTAGCTTGTGAGGTGAAACGTCCATGTTGTGTTTACAACTTCTTTCCGCTGCCCCCAAGTGACCCAAAACCCCCGATCACACATTCATTTAAAGCGCCTGTTGTAAACTCCCGTACTTTTTCTTTATTTCATAATTTATCCATAGTTAGATTTTGATAACATTGTCAGGGAAACGTTCTTAAAATGCTACAAAGAAAAGTACCCAAAGAAAAACGATGTGTCATATTACTGAGACACTATAGTTGATTGTGCTTTTGAATGCTGCAGTACTTGACTGAGGTGGAACCATGAATTTTATTTTGTGAAAAAGTAGTGAGTCAGAGTAGATGTACTTCAGATGTGTACATCATAATAGTACAACATCGAGTAAATTGACTTTGTCATACTCCACTACTGCACTCATTATAGAGCAGCATTCAAATGCACAATCAACCATAGTTTTTGTTGATTGTGCATTTGAATGCTGCACTTGACTGAAGTGGAACCATTATTATTATTTTCCATTGTTTCTTTTTTCACTGTTAATCATATTGCATTATGAATTTCCATCGATAGTTTGTTTTGTTTGTAGAAAATAAGAAAATTACCAAAAGCCCAAAGTAACCCCCATCACACTGCTTTTGTACTTACTTACCGTCCAAACTTTTAAAGCAAAGGAATTTAAATTATTCCATCACATTGCATTTTATTTAGCTGATGCTTTTATCCAAACCGATTTACAATAAGTGTTAAATTGTTAAAATAACTAGAAGGAGATTATACATTATTAAACGATCCTCAAGTTGTACTCACTGGAACCATGTAATGTTTGCTATAATAAAAGAATAATGACTTATCTAAGGAGTTAATTGGTTTTCTGTTATCTGACTAATTTATCAAATGCCTCAACAATTTATTTGGTTGTTATAAGGTGAAGTCTATAAGAAAGTATTCAACTGTACAAGCTCTTTGTATGTTTTTGTGCCGAATCTTGATTTGTAAATTAACTACATTGTCAAATAATTGTAATTGAGTATAAAATGGAGTGAAAAAGTAGTGAGTTAGAGTAGAAGTACTTCAAATGTGTACATCATAATAGTGTTACATTGAGTGAATTTACTTTGATACGCTCTTATTTGGCAGAAAAGTCCAAATATTATGACACAATATATAGAATATACACACCATCCTTAATCTGGGTGTATTTACTCTGTATTTTTCATATTTTATTTGTATCATATTAACACTTTTGAGGATTTTTTATCACAACTAACCATCACACTGCAGTGGTGGAGCTGCCAAGACAGTATTTGTGGTGGTCAGCTTCCAGGAGTATATTCATGTGTGCTGTGTTTGGTATTTCTGAATAAAACGTTCTTGCTCGATAAACCTCTCCCATATAAATAAGGTTTTGCGTCATGTGTCTTAGCTACAATTGATTTAATGGGGAAACATATTTTCAGTCTCAAAAATCACCATGGCAAAACTACTGCACAACTGGATAGGAGGCTCTGGAGATTAGTGTTAACCTATTTTCCAAATCAAGAGGAAATGGCGCCATCTGGTGTTTCTCTCCCTCAGAACCTCCATTGATGTAAAGAAACAAAATGATAGACCACCACAGAGGGGACATCAACCCACCTAATGATTCTCTCAATAGTGGTACAGTTTGAGGGCCAGTGGCACTCAGCATGGAGTCTCCAAAGGTTTTAAGTGCTGTGTTCTCTCCTAACTGCTCTCTACACGCAATCATGCACTGCTGCAGGAAACAGATTTAACAGATTCCTACTGCAGAGTGGAGCGCCTGCTGTCACGGGCAGAAAATGAGCTTTTCCTCAGTATTTAATAGCCCATTTTTAAATATACTTGTTCAGACATCTGGTTTTTAATATGTGCTCCAACACCGCTTAAGTTTCTCAGAAAAATATGACCTGTGGATTCAGACAATAGGTCAAGTTCCTCATTTTATTTAATGCATTTTTTGTTTTGCATATTCCCCATTTTACTGCCATTTTAGGTGAAGTTATCCATCTTCACACCGGACAAACAGATTGTAGGTAGCTGAGGAAAATGTGGAGTTTGAGTGAAAGGACAGGAAGACAGCTGCGATTTATATTTTTAATAGGTTTGCTTGACACTGTCATCAAACCTGTCACACAAAGGAGATTTGAAATGGTTTATTTTAATAGATTTTTGGACAACCAAATATGTAAAATAAAATAAAAAGAAAACCAACAGCAAAAGTGAAATTTAATTCACCAGTTTTTTTTTCCTTAAAAAAATATCAGCCTTTCCCCATGTTCACAAACCGCTTCAAAACTGGGACAAACTGAAAAAAAAATATGAAAAATTCAGAAGTTGGAAGGCCATTAACATTTGTTGGCAAATATAAATATAGTGGTTTGAACAGGGTCTCAAATAGCTCACATGGAAAGAGTGTACGTACAGTTTACACGACAGTAGGACACTCGGCACTGCCTGTATCAATTTTTATTTCACGTAGAAAACCAGGAGCTTTATTTACGGATTTAAATCAATGTTTTTATGACAAGGAAATATGTACATTCAGCCAGCTCTAGAAGTCTCTGGAGTATGGTGTTTGTGTTGCCCCTCTGGTCACGTTGATTGTCTATTCAGGGGCATAATTGTGAGAGTATGTGTAGTCCGAGTAGTAATCCTGTGCCCTGCCCCTGCCTGCTGGGTAACCCCAGGAGCAGGGACCACCTCCGCCCCCCCGATCATGTCCTCGTCCTGGACGAGTCCAAAGTCCTGGTGGGATTCCTCTCCCTCGATAGCTCCCTAAAGAACCAGGACCCATTGCACCCCGCATAGGCCCATGGTCCATCTGTCCAGGGATGCCACCTATACTCCCATAGCCAACTGCACACATTGGATGTGGAGGCAGCTTAGGTCTGACTACTGACCCCCCCCTGGTGGCCACTGTGGGAATTCCCACAGAGGATCCAAGGTTGTCAGTGCAATTCACCTGAGTCCTGTTCCCTTGACTAGCAGGGGTGCTGCCTCCAAGGGCTTCCCCGCTCTTAGGGAGCCCACTTGAGTCCAACAGTCCTGATGTGACTACGCCCTGGCCACTGCCACTCTCACAAGTGCTAGTCCCTGCAGTGCCCCACACTCCCTCCCCAGGTCCACTGACTGTCCTGTCATGTTGTGAGGGAGTCCCAGCAATGTAAACTGGCTGGGTTGTGTCGCAATGGTTTGTGTAAGGGATGGAGGTGGTGTGTGGAGAGTTCCCAGTCACCCCAGCTCCGCCAGTGTCCGAGCCATATGTGTGACCAAGCATCATGAGATGAGGTGGAGGGGGAGGTTTGACCTCCATGGGGAGGGACGCCAGGTTGGCAAGAGGTCCTGCTGTGGCCATGACAGGGGGAGTTGGGATCGTGGCAGGAGCTGTAGTGCGATACTCCTGTTCCTGGGTGGTGCTGCAGGGCGAGGCTGGGTAGGCTGGGGAGGCAGCGTAGCTTGAAGAGCCAGTGTAGGATGACCACGAGGCTGAGGGACACAGGAAGCTCTGGTGGGGATTCACAGGAAAACCTCCTGGTGACAAGCTGCCAATGTCTGAAGAGCCTATACCTATCTGGTTGGTGGCTTTGAACTGAGAGATGGCGGTTTTGAGAGCACTGTACTCAGACAGCGTCGGAGTTCTCTCAGGCGTGACCTGCTGGTCTGGGAGCGGAGGACGAAACTCCTCCATATTTGGTGGCGGCGGCTGCGGAGGCTTTTTCTTCTCTCCTATCTGGTTCTGCTCTGCAGAATCGGCTATAGTGGGTGGCTCATCACCATCATCAGAGTCTAATGACATGTCTTCCTCCTCCACACACTCATCATTCACTACTGCGAGAGAAGGAGTCAGCAGAGAGGGTGAGGGTGAGAGAGAGAGAAAAGCAGAAAGAATTGCATTATCAGCAGATGCATTTACAGCTTTGTGTTGAAAAAAACTCTGCTGCTAACTGTATAGGACAGAAGGCAATTTAGCAAAGCAATTACACTACAGCGAAATGTCACGAAATCCAGTGTTTTGTGTTAAGTGCTGCTGCTGCTGATACCCACCAGTAGAGGGCGGCGTCGGAAGCTCATTCTGATTAATGGAGCCAATCAGACTGTGGAATCCGCTCATTACATCATCAATGCTTGCAATTACTATTCCATTTCTGGAAAACTGGAGAAACATCTCAAATGGCCTCTCTGTAAAAACACATCACAACAATAAATACTTTAATATCACATAATAATCAAGTATATTATTTATTCAACCAGAATGCATGTGGGAAGAAAACATCTCACTCAAACATCTGAACCCTAAACACACATTTTCTTTTGCTAGCGTCAGATAAAATGTGAGAGGATGAAGTTAACAATGACTAGGATGAAGATACCAGTGAGGAAGATAAGGTGCCGTTGCTGTGTGTGCTGCGCTTGGAGTTTGATCAGACATTCCAGATCAGGAGCCTGACGCGACTGAGTGTCACACTCGTGATAAGGGAGGAACTCCACTAGGTGCTTCTTCTGATAAGCTGTCAGGAGGTTCAGAAGCCCCATGGCGTTGGTGTTTAACCTTTAAGAAAAGCACAAAAGTAGATCCATACAGTGTTGCGATGTTTCCTCACACCTGAATATGGCCTAGAATCATTTTGATGTGATAATTCTGGGAAATCTCCAGAGATACTGACCTCCCCAGCTCTTTCAGCTTCTTCTGGGACTTGCAGTGCACCTTCCACTGCCAGGGGTGTTCAGGGGAGCTCTGCTCTTCCAAGAACTTCAGCAGCCCCTGTAACCGATCTGGAGAAAACAGGCAACGTAAGCTCTGAAGTATCATCCGGTTAATATTTCCACCAACTGGCACGGCTCCCACAGAGAAAAGTAAAACTTACCCTGCGTGATAAGGTCGGGGTTTAGGACAAACTCGTCAGACACCATGAAGCCTCCAGACACAAAGAGCTCATTGTAAGTGTGATTCTTGACATCGTCCAGAGTGTCCACTCCAGCAAAACTCACTGAAGGCAACTTCTTTAACGACACCAGAGCCGGGATCTAAAGGGTGAAAAGCTTTTGTTAGTTTTATAGACCTTTTTTATCAGTTGAACTTGTGTTTCGTGTTTTATTTACACCCTGACACAACATGCAAATAATGCTGTAATTAAATTAAACATAGCAAATAGGACAATACCCTGGGGCAGACGTAAAAAATGAATAAAACATTTTAATTTTTATGTGTGATAACTGCCAAGATCTGCTGGTGCCAAGTCATCTGAATTACAAACTGGGGAGAAGGTGATGTACTATGAAGAGGGGTGACAGGAGGTCTTCCTACCTTGTGCACGTGCGCAGCGATGTCCTCGTTCTGAATGATGATGAGGAGCTTGTCTAAACTGCCGCTGTTTTCCAGAAACGTTTGCGGGCTGCACTCGCTGTTGCCAAGACTTTTCAAGTACTCCTTCGTGCCAGACAGGAGAGATGTAATTGTTAGGGACAGACAGATGAACATGTCCTCCTCTCTTATGCATACAAGTGCTGACTGACTGACAGATGCAGAGAGCGCAGAGCCCCGAGACACTGAACACATAGTGACAGAGGGGAGCTAGTGTGGCCTTTCACATTTCCCTTGTGTCGATCCGTGTGTTCACTTGTGTACGCAAGTGAAATGATATACAGCAGAATAATGGGAAGGCTTATTGGCTGGAATACTAAAAAGAAAACATGATCCTGAATAAATCTATAGAATAAGAATAAGTAAGAAAAGTCATGCATGGTTAATAGGCAGTAAATGATTTAAAGTCATGTTTTAACAATTTTAGCCACAGAAAATTATAGGAGTCATTTTTACAATCTAATAAATGTTAAGGTCATTTGTCAAATAAAATTGTGAAGATTTTTTTTTAATATATAAATGTTATATCTCTGCATTTTCAACTGGGTGAAACAAGCAATTTAAAGTCATCATTTAAACCTTTACCTTTATCTCCTTGCACACAGTTCTCTCCTCCCCCTCGTCACTAGAGTGAATGTAGAATTTCACCGTATTCTTCGTGACGTCCTTAAAGATCTCCACCAGACTGCTGAAAACCTCAGGCTTCAGCTGACCAATGAGGCTGCCAGCAAGCAGGCTTGGGTTTTGGGAGTTAGCGTCTGGAGAGTCTGTTGTGGTTAGAGAGGGAGAATAAACTTCTCCCCCCAACTCTGTTGAGGCGACTTCTGATTTAGCTTTTGTGGATGCAGGTTCTTTGATAGAGCCCATTTTATCACTCTGGGAGGAGGGGGTGCTCTTGGACAGGGGGGACTCCGCTTTAGTTTTGGAAGTCTGGATTGGGGCAGGGGGTGGTGTTGTAAGATTAGACGTTGTTACTGGGGGAGGTGGAGAAGTGACCTTCGAGGGAGCAGGTGGGGCTGGGATCAACTTGTCCATCATCTCACATAGTGCTTTGACGTGTCCCTGAGTGGGGACAGGGGAGACGAAGGATGCGATAAAGTCTGAGAAGCAGCTGTTGGGTAACCAGCAGCCGCGTGGAACCAACCGTGGTGGTAGCTGCGAGGTATAGCAGATGTGGTTAGTCTGCATAATGTTCTTAATGTCAGAAGTGAGACTATGAATTTCCTGGTTAAGGATGGTGTCCAGGCTGATGGAGGGCCTGAAGGGAACCTCCTCTAAAACTGGTAATGTGGTAGCTGCAGCTGCCTTTTTTACTTCCACAACTGCAGGCGTCTTCAGCTCTGGCTGACTGTCTGTCGCTCTCACGGCCTCCGGCTCAGGCCTCAGCCCAGGAAAAGGGGAGAGGTCTGTGTTAACTGTCTGCTTCGAGGTACCTTCATTGACGGGGAGAACCCATGTCGGGTTATCTGAGGTGTGAGCTTGCTCTAGCGGGGAGCCGACGCTGAACGGACTTCCAGGGCTACAGTCCATGTCCTCCTGAGCAAAGAAAACACCAGCATTGGTTATTTTCAGGTCTATGCACGTATTAAATACATGTTAAAATATTCCAAAACAACAGTCTCACCTCTGTGTAGTTTGTTTGCAAGGCTGGCTCAAGTTGTTTCCTAAAATCCGGGTCAGGAATAGAAGGCTCCCCGCTGCCTGAACCCGTCGACGGTTCACCGTGATTTACCTGCACAGACACTGAACCCTGAGCCACGGCTTTGTTGAGAGTGGCCAGCAGGATCTTGAGGAGGCGCTGCGTCTCGTTGACCGCTGAGGTGTTGGCGTTGCCACGGGCCCTCAGATCAGTGTCATAGATGCCCATGCTTTCCATTACAGCTGTCAGATTGTCACCGTGTCCACCTTCATCTCCCATCTCACCGGCTTGGATGCCTGGTAGGACACAAACAATTCATTTGATTCGTATAACGAAGCCAAGGTTTTCTGTATGTTACAGGGATTTTAAAGACAGGTATGCATAGCTGTTCATTTGAAAAGAGTTAAAATACTGCTCGAGGTGCAGACTGACACAAACATAAGAGCATTGATTATTTCAGCTTCTAGTGTTCTGCAGTTGCATGGATTAGCAATAAAAATGCAACCACCTTGACACCAAAGTGTTTATAATCAAATAAACAAGTAATTTTACTGTGGTGTAAGCTAATGCACCAGGGTTATTGATATGGTGCCAATGGGTAGCAGTGTTTTTTTGTTTTCAACTGAATTACTGAAACTAATCAGCCTGTGTTGTGGAACTAATGCAATAATCAGTATTTCAGAGAAACTGAACTTATGAGGAAGTAGAAGGAAATTCTTAAAAACCAAAGATTACATTACACTTTTGTGAAGACCCCAGAGCCGGGGACTTGTGTGTCTCGTTCTGTCTTCCAGCTCCTTTATGAGCTGGATTTGGTGCCATTAAGTTAACTGGGAGCACCTGGCCAGTGCCCCCAGCTACTCAGACACCAGTGTGCCTGATCTCTTTGTTCTGCACCCAGATGTGATTAAAATCAAGTTACACAAACCCCTGCAGCCCTCCTCACCTTGACTGGGCTCCCCGTTGCTCAGCGGATCAGTACGCTGGTGTTTGTTTATGCCTCCACTCTCATCTCCCTCAAACTTCCTCTTCAAATTGTTGGCGTCCCAGGTTCCGTCCTCTTCCCTTTCCTTCTCAGGGTCTTTTATTAGTGCTTTCTTATGAAGCTGAATCAACTTGAGCAGCTGCTTCATCTTGTGTTTGTCATACTCATTCTGGGACAACCGTAACCTCTGGGGCTGAGGCTGAGAGTCAACGTGGGGCTTGTGCTGCAACTGGGCTCCGTTTGAATGGGCCAACCCAGGCCGCCGTCTGCTGCTGTCTTGTGGTGGTTTCTCCTGGGCTGGCCTCTCCGGGGGTCTCTCTGCCCTGTCCGAGCCCCTGTCCGAGCCACCCCAGTCAGACACAGGGCTGTATTCCACTGGGGCTTGAACGGGTGTGGGTGTGGGTACGGGTACAGGTACAGGGTTTCGTATTCTCTCCATGATGTCCTTTGCCTTGTTCAGGGGTAACATATAGTTGGCAGGGTTGTGCACATAAGAGCGAAGCATGGCATCCATGTTAAATTTGGGTCTGGGCACCGGGAGCGGGTTGATTCGATCATCCATGTTACATTTGTAGTCGGGCAGAATGAACGGCCGCACCGTACCCGAATCCATGCGCGTAAGGTAATCGGTGGCCTGCCGCTCCACCCCGGCGCTAAGGTCCTTGCCTGGGTTAGGCCGCAGCTTGAACAGCGAGTAGTGCAGAGCGGGGATGAAGGGCTCCGTGGAGGACAGGTGGGCGGGCTGAGGCTCCGCTGTCAGCAGCTCTGGCTCAAACAGTCTGGATGCTGAAATAAAGGACACGTGTCAGTGTCAAGATGTCCAACCACATAATAGGTGTTTAGAGACAGGTGCTTAATAGAAGTCATAACAGCAGCTCAGGTTTCAGTGGGAAGAAGTGAGGAACTGTTTTCTGTTTCATGCAGATGTTGGAAAGGATCTTGGTCAGATGGTGAAAAATACTTACAATATTTAACAACCGTCCTTGATTCCTGAAAGATGAATAATGCTTGCAGGTTTTTCTCAGTCCGCCCCCACCGCTCTAGAAAAAAACAAACAGCCACTTTCTTTTGAAGCTGATCTTTCACTAAAGGCAAAAAGTAGGTGTTCGGCTGATACAACTGAGAATCATGAAAGTAAAGGATAGAAAAAAACACTTAAGTACCTTTGGACTCAACCATCTGAGCTGAAGAGAGCAGGAAGAGAAAGCCCCGGTCAAACAAGGACTTCACCAGCACCTGAGTCACGAGAGGAGACACTTCACTCAGAAACACCAGGGTGTATCATTGTGTGAGCGATAAGAATGTCAGTGTAATGTTTGACAGGTTTGTGTACTTGTGTACGACATTTCCAGCTTTATTTATTTGTTTATATCTACAGTATGAAAGTTGTCTGTTTTCCCATATTGTTCCTACAAAAGCAACAAAATAACACTAAATGTTACAAATGTGATTATGATCCTGTTCTCTGAGAGAGAAGTATTTTCTTTGGAGGGATACTGGACATCCTGCAACTGTGAATTCAGGACTTAGTTCATTTTGTTGATTAGATGTGAACTGGTTATGTATTTTTAGGAATTTCAAGTGTGATAAACTGGTAGATCACAGGTAATGAGTGACTCACCATTCTGTCTCTCTCCAGTTTGTTGACCAGCGCTGCCAGGCTGCCGTTGGTCGGTTTGCCTTTTCCATCCACCACCTCAAACAGGCTGCAGGACATCCCACACTTCAATACTGCAGACAAATAAAAGTAAATTAGAAAACAACTTATATCTTGTTAGAATCTCTGTGCTGAGTTTTAGGTGAAATACTGCAAACTCCTTACTTAGAAAAGCTTTATAAATTGAATTTCAAGTAATGCAGTACCGCCCAGACGCCCAGGGCATTTTTCTACCATTTAATTATAGATATAGACGTGTGGTCTGGACTGACCTTCCCGTGATGCTCTGTAGGTGTCCCAAGAAAAGAGCACAGAGGGAATCTTTCGCTTCACCTGCTCTAACTGCATGCCCCGATTCATCTCCAGCTTCTCAGGCCTGCAGCAGAGCACACAGAGATATATCAGAGAGCAAATCATAATCAATTCCTGAAAAAAACTTGTCTGTATAATATACAAGTGCTTTCTATTCTCCCCTTCTCACCTCAACAAGATTAATGTAGTGTTATAGCTCAGCGCGTAAGTCTTTTGAGGTAAGATGTGTCTAATGATTAACAGAGAAGTTCTAGTAGCACGGTGGATGTTTTCTAGAGATGCAAAGAATTATGCGAGACACTAGAGCTGCTTTCAGACATGCACTGGACTCCGCAGTTCCTCCGGAGGAAGTGTATGTGTGAACGCAAATGTCCGAGTGAGACGCTCCGCGGTTTCTACAGACTTTATCCACCTGACGTCCTAGTATAAAGTCCGAAGAAATCCAAGAGAAGTCGATGTGTGGACACAGCAGGTGATCCCCGCTGGATTCACCGCGAGCATGTGGGTGGATTGATGAATACCTCCCAGTGAAAAGGCACACACATAGAAGACACCGAAGATTTCAGGAGAGTTTGTGCTGATAAGTGCTAGTGAAGATGTTGAGGTGCTGTAAACATCCACGCAGCGGAGTTAATACGTCACTTCCAGCTGCTCCATCTCTAACCTGAATAACCTGGAGGATTTGGTGCTGTTGTGTACTTCTGTGCAGAAAACCTCCCGCTGTGTCGTGCACTTGTGAAAGGCGGACTCTGGGTAAACTCCGTAGCCAATTCTCTGGATTTTATCGGGAGGTCATGACTGAAAACGGCTTAAATGTATACTCACAGTTTGAAAGGAAGGTAGGGGCGCGAAGACGATCGTAAACAGATTGGGAATAACTCCTGACCCTTGTTCAGTAGTGGACCACTCCACACAGTGTAGCAGTTCTTCCCTGCAAGAGTGTCGACAGAACATGTCAAAGGTCAGAGAAAGCTTTTCATAACTATTTCATAACTCCTAACTACTGCTGGTTTTACAAAGGAAAAAACATTTCACACATACTCCTCTTTACATTTTTCCAACTGGCTGTTTCATTGAATTTTGATATTTTGGTCGTGTCGCACTCTTCTTTAAGTGGCTAGTCCAAGTGTTAAGTTAAAGAAGTCACACCGTGATACTGATTAACATGGGAGCAGTTGTTTAAGATCCAGGTGCCAACCTGCAGCAGCGTTTTATGCAACTGGTGTGAAATGTCCATACATATCATACATATCCTAGTTTACACGGACATGACAACAATTAAAGAATACAAAGAGATATTGTTTACATATTTGACAATTATATGAAAAAAACGTTGTACCTTTACTTCCTTCAGGGGAAATTGCATTAAACCTGTTAAGGGGAGAAAGAAAAGGCCTGTTTACAAACACAGAACACAGATGTAGCTCACGTCTTGCCAAGCTCTCAACCGTTTGAGCGTTTCCTCATTTGCTGCAGGAACATGTACCTGTGTGCAGTCATAGGAGTCGCAGCAGCCTCTTTGCCTATGTACTTAAAGGAAACCACAGCGTAGGGGCACACGTGCCTGGGTCGAGCCTTGATCTCATCAAATGCAAACTCATAAAAATATTGCTAAAACACAGAGAGAGAGAGAGAGAGAGAGAGAGGGGGTCATTAAAAACAAAGAAATGATAGTTTTTATAAAATACATACACAATACATTTAAAATGTGAATGGGACAGACGCAGCTCTTACCTGTGTGAGCTCAAAGGCCCTGTAGGACAGCAGAGATGTTACCCTGTTCGCACTTTTCGACAAGTTACAGTCAAACTTGGGTGTGGGCTCCATTGCATTCTTAGGCATGTTCTCGTGGATGTGCTTTATTCGGCCCTGAGAGACAAGACATACGGGTTGCCTTCAAGTCCCACAAGAATTTCAAAAATCTGACATTTTAACACAATTAAAGAAGCAGACGTACCCTCATGACTTTAAAAATGACCATGTCTCCAGATGAGCCCACTTCAAAAGGGTTGATTTGTAATAAATCTGAATATTTGGAGAGATAAACACCTACAATGACAAGATAAGAGATAAGACTAGAGGACAAGCACTGTGATCATTAAACTCCATGAAAATACACAGTGAGGTCCTGTGAAGCCTGAGACCATTTCCCATTTACTTGAAAAGGAAAGTGGTCTTATGACAGCACCACATGTTCTCGCTCTGAAACTCAAACCATAACAGTATATGTTGATTGCTGCTAAATGGTTGTTTATACTGTAAGGAGACAGTAAAGATATACTGTTTATTTCCTACAGTTGGCCAGAGACATTTCTGGCTGTTGATGAGCCAATTTCATCAGGTGAAAATATAAGACTTGACATCTTCAGGTGCAGAAACAAATAAGGCAGGAAATACTCATTACTGTCATGAGCACAGTAAAAAATCTTCAATCGACTTCTATTCAGGTTGGAAAATAGTCTCCAAAGCAGCATTCAAGAAACCTACTCACCCACTGAAGGATTTCCAAGTGTAGTAATCTTGGAGTGTCCAACAGACAGACCCTTCTCGCAGATCCAATGGAGCTATACAAACAACAGAGCACACAAAGTTCACAATCTTCTGTAACTTGTCCAACATCTACAAGAGAACAGTTTATCAGACGGGCTCACCTTTGCTTTGTCTGGAAAAAGGAAACAGTACGACTCAGTCAATTCTTGTTCCGTCCGCCCCTCCTGCTTCATCTCTCGGCGCTTCTCGATGAACTGGCACATGATAAGTATAGAAAGTCAATGAGTTACAGCCGTCTGAAGCTCACAAAGTCTAAGCACTTGTATACACGACTCTGGTAGACTATCCAACTTGGAAGACCACATTATGAAAATATTTATAAAAGCCTGTACTCTGCGTGTGGTGTTTCCTGTTGCATGAGCCACTAGAGCACTTGTGGAATTAAAACACTGCTGCGTTGTTTTAACATCTTAGCTGGTTGTGATTTCACAATGTTTGTTTCAACCTACAAAAACATATCATGAATAGAAAGAGGGAGAAGCTGAAATGCTGTAATGTTGACATTTGAGGGGTACAGGGAGACAACGACCAACCTCCTTCTCCAGCAGTTCGTTGTAGATGAGCCTGGCCTTGGAGTAGGAGAAGGCTGCTCGTGATGATGAGTCCAAATAAAACGATGACAAAATCTTCACGAGGTCCTCGAACTCCCGACTATCAGGCCGCAGAAAGTTGTACAAGCCTGCAAAGAGTGAGGGAGATCAGTGGATTAGCATCTGTATCACATGTGTGCATGTGCAAAGTTAACCAGCAGGAGCCGGCCACAGCATCAGGCAAATAACACCACTCCTCTCATGTATAAGGTAATCTTGCCTGAAGA